CCAAGGATTCGCCGCCAAGCGTTCATTGTAGCAAGCATACTTTTAACGTGCGTTCTGTCAAACCAACGCCAACGTCAACGCAACGCCAAAGTTGTATGTAAACGGGCCTTTACTACTTCCGGCTGGGATAACCTTTATGAAACTAAAGCTTAGTAGCGGGATACTAAATAAAAACTTGCTTTTAAGATACTCAACCCTTGCGAATGAAATCAGAGTGAGTATTTCCCTCCTTCCTTTTTGAATAATTTTGCTACTACTTTGGGATATATGTACATACCTGTGCAACCCAGTTTTTGTAGAATTCTTGCCCATTGACTTTAGCGACCGAAGTAAAATACTTGAAAATCATATTCGGACTCGAAAGTCCGCTTTGAGTAAATATGAGGGTATAAAACCAGGAATAGTGCTCTAGATATGCTTATTCAATATGTTCTACGACACCACAGTTTCATAGGCATCATTAGAAAAAACTGCAAATCAAGAAAGGTTTAGTATGACGCAGTGAACAACGTGCACGGTAATTACTTAAGCGCTACCCTCCACGATTACAAACACCCTGGAATTCCTACTAAAACATTTCGCTGCTGTCCTTTAATGAAAAAAAATGATATGAAACGAGATTTGGTCATTCCGAACGAACCGACACCTGACCGGCAAAATTCCAGCACCCGGACTCTCTCTATATCGACGTTGATTTTGAAATCGGTTTCACAAGGGTTCGTAATTAAACTAGAGTATATATAGTTGCAGCATTTTTCAATCTAAAAATACATCTTGAAAGCAGGACGACCGCTGTCAGATCATCTCAGAACTGATTTCAGAGGCAGTAACTTGGTCAAACAGCGTAAACAGGAAGTAGGAATATTCTAAACCAGTGGTCGGCAGGCCATAGCTCACTGAGCACTCTCTGAGCACATGTGTTTTTCACACGTATACGAAGAGCGCCAGCTGAGCAGTGCATTTCACGCACACAGTCTCACTTATTGAATCGTTTGAATGTGTTAGTATGCCGACCACTGCTCTAAACAAACATGAAACTATAGACACAATTGGGTGGGTGCCAGTACATGAAGATAGTATTCTGAATAAACTCTTTTTACCAAGCGGTTATACCGCTGGCATTGTGGAAACTCTGGTTTAGAACAAATTTCCTCGGGGGCTCAATGAAATGAGCCTGCGAAAATCTTACAGAGACTCTATGAAAATTCGATCGCCTGCCTAGGGCCAAGCATGATTATCCAGCGAAATGTGTTTACAAGACTACACTTAACCCCTATATCATCTTAAAAAGACCTTAAAAAACATAAATACGTATGTATGTATCTACACATGTAGGTTAAATATAAATTTTAAATTAATTTCAAATAGACTTTCGGCGGATATTGACTCTGCTTACTCTTCTTCCAATGAGATCGACCTTTTAAATATTTAAACCTTTTTATATACTCCAAAGTCCTTTATATTTAATTTAGGATTCTGACGCTTTAAGCAAAACACTGTCTGCTGCGTTTAGAAAAACACTGCCAATTTTGAAACGAATGCTATTGGCTTAAAACACTTAACATAATCCAAACAAACAAAACAATAAAAAATAGTCATAATTCATAAAAATAGAGAAAGTACGTACGAGTGTAGACATATGTTCAGTGCCGGAAAGGAAATCATATTCCATAAATTCCGTAATACAAATGTCAAGCGACAGACTGCTCTCTAGCCATATTCGCTGCCCATTCGTAAGTGTGTTGGTGTGTGTGTGCTTTCTACTATGGCAATTGCAGACGTAGCCAATTTAATGCATATTTGCTGCCTTTGTTCAAGCAGCAGGATCGATTGCTAAGCAGCAGGCAAAATTGTCAGCCGAGACCAAACAGCCACAGCCATTTTTGCCATTCATGGTTATTCATAAATACATAAGCACATAAATGCAATACTAAAAGCCAAGTGCCGCCAAAAGCTATGCCAAGTGATAAAAATGAAATCAAATGAATTGCGAATTCAAGAGAAAGAAAATGGCTTGTGTTAGTGGTTGTGTGTGTTGCAAGAGAAAACTAACCTTAACAACTTGAACAATTGAAACTGAGACAAGTTTTGTTGTGTTTTTTTTTTTTTTTTTGGTTTT